GGTAGAACATTCTCCTCACCTTCCTGACAGGAATTCCACAGATTGACTGAGAGCACTCACCTAAAAATCAAAGCAGGTCTGGAAGAACTGAGAGTGATGGAATAATGCTACATAAATTCCTGTCCAGGAGAAAGAACTGGATCTCATTGGCTACTAGGCTCTGGGAAGCAAGCTGCTAGTTTGGGCTTGGGCAGCTGAAAGAGGGAGATGGATGACATCAGTCTTGGCCTGACCTTTGAAGGACTTTAGAAGCTGGAAGGAATCTTAGTGGTGTTGATATTTCCTCCCCATTTTAAGGATGAGAAAATTAAAGTCAGAAGTTATGTCACTTGCCCAAAGTAACACATGTAACCATTACTGAGAAAAATACCATCAAGGTTAAAAGCCCTCACATCTCAAAGAGCAGTCCAGTTTTTTCTCCACAGAGCATTTCATGTTTGAATGGTGAAGATGATACACGCATACCCATGTTCACAGCAGCACAATTCGCAATAGCTGCTGTAAACATGGGTTTACATGAAGGACCTTCCAAGCCAGGGAAAGGGAGTAAAGTGATAGTCAACATCTCCTATGGGCCTGGAAGCCATGGGTACAGGGCTGAACTGGAGGCGGGTAACTTGGATCAGCTTGGTGGAGATGCATCATGCACAACAATCTAATTTTATCCCAAGGAGCCTCTGAGGAGAGGAGGGATGAAACTAATGCCTGCAGAAGATTTTTAAGGAAGATAGCTTTTATAACTGTAACTGTATTTTTTTTAAATTTTGAAAAATGTCCTGTTGAGTAAATCAAATTGGTCCTATTAAGCTTTAGCTAAACATACCCTTAAAAGGATCAGACAACACTTTAGTCTGACATAGTTTAATGAATTCAAAATCTAAACTTTGTAGCTTGAAATTTCTTTTGGGCTCAGTAAACAGTGAGCGAAATTTCTGCAAGAATTCAGAGATGGTCCCTTAGACAGGAAGACCATGAAGTCAAAGGTAGAATTCTAAGACGTTTCAGTTGCTCAGTCCCTAGGCTCAGATCCCAACCCTCTAATACATGGAATTAGAAAAGTGTGGCAGTCCCCAGTGAGATATAATGTGATTCTTAATGCTATCAGGGAGGAAGGAGCAATTTTTCTTTGATGAACATGAAGCAAGGATATAAGGCCCTAAGTGAACAACACTAAGTGCACCAGCTGCTGTCAATCAATATTTTGACCATTAATACTCATCCAGGCTTTTAGGCCAGTTTAAATGAATATCACCATGGGTTATATTTTAAAACAGTTATGGATTCTATCCCTTCAATTTTGAAATTGCACGAGTTATAGAATGTCATGAGAAACAAGTACCCATTAGGATCCCTGGTAAAGTGAAAATAATGCTTCCACTAATTTTTAAAAGCATCCTGTGATCCTTAATAATGAGAGAAAAGATACTTTTTATATAAGGAATTACCTGTATTTGGAATATGAGATTTATTTCCAATCAACCCAGAGACAAGTTAATCACCACACATGGTTTTTCTTGGTTCTATAACCCTTCATATGATATTTTAAAGCAAATAAATTAAAAGTTGTTTCTAATCATAACTATAAAAGAGAAGTTAAACCTTCTGCATGGTCACTTTTCCCATCATTTTCTCTAATTGCTCACATTTTGGAAGCCTTTGATCCCTGGAATTTTTAAACTGGATTCCCAATCACACTGATTAAACATATCTACATCTGTTAAGTCCTCTAAAGGGCATTTGACACATGTCAACTGAATGCCAGGGGAAAAGCAGTTGGGGGACTGAGTAGGGAGATTACAGGAAATTTGGTGCTTTGGGAAAAGACTTCTGGTTTTTGACATGGGGCGAACAACACAATATACCAAAAGTGAATGAGAGCAGAGACAACACCCAGAGAAGAGGGGTAGCTGTTAGGCAAGCTCTTGGATGAGCCCTAGGAGCAAGACCACGGAATCTCACACGCTTCATTACAAGTCTGCATGGCAGAGATGGTGAGTCACAGGATTCTCTTAAATGTCATCTCCTTGAAAAGGGATATTTAAAAGCCCAAGTTGCAAATGCAGTTGGCTTTCTTTCTCTCTCATTGGTTATCAACATGTCCCCAGCGGAGTGCCTGCAAAAATGTAAGAGTTCCATCCTCAGATGGAAAAAGAGATATGTATACTTTTATCCTAAAATTTTATTTTTGTTTTGGAGGGGGACTCCTGGAAAGGAGAACCTCTGTGACCAATCTTGAGGGGGTAAACAGCAGGAGGAAGCATCTGGATTGCAGAGACACATCCTCTCTCCTGGAAGGTCACTGGAAGAATGTTCTTGTTTTTAAAGTTCTCAGCATCTTTTAGTAAAGAGATATGGTTTGAATCCCAGCTCAGCAGCTAAAGAATGACATGACCTTCACCCCTCCAAGTCTTTATTCCTACGTCTGCAAAGGGAGGATATTGGGCTTGTGTTCTCTAAGGCTTCTTTCTCATCTATGAGTTCCAAATTCATTTACAGATACTGGGCAATTAATTCACTTGGAATTTCCTATCCCCTTGTGAGTAAAAAAAGTGTGTAGTAGAGTTCCTCTTTTTCCTCTGTTATAGTTCCAAGCTATTTTATTACATCCCTGACAGAAAGTCCCTAATGAACATTTCAGATATAATATTTAGATCATCCCTGAAGAAGAAACACAAGAAGTCACTCCATATGCATGGTTTTCAAAGACTGTCCTGCAAGATGAAAATGAAGACTTTTTTGCTAATATTTTAGAATGCATGATAGACATGGACTCTACCATGAGTGGCTATTTGGTTTGGGGAAGTCACTTCACTTTGCTGAGATTAATTTTCTGCCTCTGAAAAATGAAGAAGTTGGAGAAGATCCTCTTAAATTCCCACAGTTATGATTCTGACAACAAGAATTAAACAACACTAATTAAACTTTTTTCGTTGATTTATATAGCTCAAGATAACTCAAAAAGATACTCAAAATTCTATTAATGGAATATATGTACATATATGTAAATACATATCTAATTTTATGATTTTTTTATATTGCACTGGTTCAGAACTTGCTTTCAAATAAAAAAGCTCATGAAAGAAGCACAGAAATTAGACAGCTCAAACCAATTCCACATTTATAAACTTTAAGCCTAAACTGCCTTAAGAGTATACCTTAAAGAAATGCTCTCTCAACAATAATGCACAATGCACTCCTATTTTATAATTTTAAAATACTAAAATATCTTACAGAGTTCTTGAGAATGAAAGGTAATCTGGAATTTTCCAAGTTCACTTTAGAAATTATGAATACAAAATGTGTCTGAATTCTAGTAATTCACCAAAATTGAATCAGAAATTAACACCATCAAAATTTAATTAGTTTTACCAGACTATCTGCTTACCATAGATAAGCTGAAATTGGTAAATGAGTCAGGGTTTTGGCAAATTCTGGTTTTGAAGAACTCTTTCCATCTAATAAAGGTTGATAACCTTAAATCTGTGGTGTTTTGCTAAAGTATCCATAGCTCTCTAATATGAGAGCTATGGATACTTTAGCTACATGGTTTCTGGCTTCTCAGAGTTTGTCCTATTCCCTTGTCGATTACTTATTAGTTCAGACAGAAAGATTCCAGTCCATTGATGATGGAAAAGGGCTAATGCAGGAGGAGTCTGGGCCTTTGTCTCCAACAGCATCACCTCCCTTCTCTTGGGTTATTTCTCTGCTGATTATGACACCCCCCTTTCCAATTTTTACTGTGTGCTTTAAGACCCTTAATACAAAGGAACTGAAGGTGCTCTAAATGGATTAGCACATTGACTTCCTGAAAAGAAATTACACTGCTTGGCCTAGAACTTTGGCCTTATACCTCAAGTATCTCCCAGCAGGCTCTAGTTAAGGCACAGGATTTCTTCTGTTCTCAGATAGCATTACACATTGTTGACCTCAGGACATCACGTGGGTAGCATATCAAATGTGCATTCATTTTGTTCCACGAACCTCAGGGATAAAAAGGCTTCAAGAATTCCAGAATGAGGGAAACTCAGAAAGTATGTTCTTTGCTGTGAATTACAGCAAGGGCTTACTTGTTTCCATTGTATTCAAAGTTCCTGCTGGGTATTAGGCTGAGGAAGGTATGGCAAAGCCAACAATTCCATCAGTGACATCAGTTTAAAAACCACTCGTGTCCTGTGTCTTACTTTAAAAGATGATAGTACAGCCTGGCTAATCTATGCCATATTTTATCAAACTTCCTGAAGGGATGACATGGTGGGACTGTACAAAAAGAGCAATATTTGGGGAGTTTGAAACTTTCGACAAATGCTTTTTGACACTTGGCTTCCCAAAAAAGTAAAATGAAAAAGGCACTTGGCAAATATAACTACTACTGATGACAATTTTAAATTAGAATGTCTGAAATCAGGCTGATGAATGTAAAGTATTGCATAAGGAAACCCTAGTGTATTTATAATACCTTCCAGTCTAAGAAAATAAAGCATCCTTCAGATAATCAAAAAGGATTTAGATGCAATGATTGCCTCAGGAGGGGTGAGGTCTGTTTCTGCAAAATTTCTTCTTGGAAGAAGTGGACAGGAGAGGGCTTTACTCCTTCCAATGTTCAATGAAGTTATTTCTAGAACTTCACACAGGCTCTCAGGGCGAGGGCATGAAGGCTGCTCTTTGTGATCACAGGACCAACACTTCCCAACATCATTACAGAAACAAACAGCGAGCCTAGTTTGCCTCCCCACATGATAAGGGACCCACAGCTGTCAACAGACTGGCATTATGTGCTCCCCAAGAACCTGACTATGACATTTGCTCCTGTGACAAGGCAAATTTCCGCAGCTCGTCTGGAAAGAGATTAGCATTCATCAGGCTGCAAGCACCCTTCATCAAGTTAATGACATTTCAATCAGCACATTTTCTCCAGTTTCGGTACTTTGCCATCTGAGCACAAGTCTCTAATTACGCCCAAGCAACAAGTCTCACATCAATCCCACCATTTATACACTCACCGTACACCATCGCTCCTCCGGTTTCATGCAAGAAGCGGAATCGATGATTTTTAAATAACCAGATTGTCAAAATGGTAAGGATGAGCAAAAAATTAAAGACAAGCAGCTCGACCGCTCCCTGATGTTGAAACTGAGACTCATCCTTCTCTGACAGAAACCTTTGCTGCCTCTCCATTCTCCTGTCCTGTTGGGATTCCTGAGATAAAAACCTGGAGCAGGCTGGTTTATCAAGATCTGCCTAAGACAGCCTGACTGCCTGAGAATTTCAGAATAAACACTGCCACTTTACTTGCTACTTTACAAGCATTCTGCCCTGGCTTAATATTCAGATGGCTTCTAGTTACAACTTCCTGTTTCTCTCTTAAAGCAGCCTCGTCTCTTTTCAAACTCCAGAGGGTGGCTTCATCATGACTCCTGCTGTCTTCAAATGATTCATTCCATGAAAAATGTCTTTCTGAGTGGGCAAGCTGCAAGCAATAATTCTGAGTTTCTTGAGTCACCTCTTAGGGTTTCAAACAAGTTTGCTTAAGCTGAGCATCTGGCGAATTGTAGATTAATGATAAAAAAAAAAGTTCACCTTACATCAGCAACATTTTCTAGGTTCAAAAAGGCAATGTGGGGTTCTTAACCTCACCCACACTTGAGGTCTTTCCTCTGCCATCAGAATCTGCCAATGTGAAGTGGATGGGTTGCTCGGGGGTGACCTGCAATGCTTTTAGGATTTTTTTTTCTTCTTTTTTTTTAAGTTGGGAAGCATGAATTTAGTATGCAACTCTTTGCTTAGCTTCTTATACTTGGTAGTCAGAGAGCAGCATTTAAATTCTGAATCAATTGTGTTAACAAGAAAAATAAAAGCTAAGTCAAAAAAGAAAATTCTATCCTTGTCTCTAACTGTGCCATTTAATTATGTTGAACCAAGAAAGAGAGAAAGAAAGAAAGAAAGAAAGAAAGAGAGAGAGAGAGAGAGAGAGAGAGAGAGAGAGAGAGAGGAAAAAAGTAAAAGCAAAACAGTATAATTGATGCATGGATGGGTTTTTCCTTCAACATTAGGCTTCTGGCCCTCACCTCCAAGACCCCCAGAAATCTGTGGCTGATGACAACCTCCTCTGACCTGGGTCCCAGATGAATGGTGCTACCCCAGCACTGAAGGTTCCAGAATCACAAGAGCCTATTGTCCATTTGTCAGGTTGGTTCTGGTTGATTTTATACTTCTATGCTTTTTGAAATGTAGCGAATCAAGACGATAGTACCTAACATGGTCTCTGCTGCTCTTTTAGCCAATGTTATGACCTGCTTGCCTTTAAAATGGATCCCATAATGCAATGAGATGTATCCTGGGGTTAAGTGTGGGTTTTCTTCATTTCACCACATCATGGTAACATAGGAGTATTAATCATCAGGATTTGCATTTGGATAGAATTAGCATTTGATTTACACAATGTGATTCATTGAGTAGGCAGAGCCCAAATACACCAGGAAAAGTTCACTGTCACCAAGAGGTAGAGGACAAACACATAATAGCGCTGGGAGCTGACTACCTCCTGATGAACAGTTCCGCCCTCAGAGAATTTATCAACCACTTAACATAAAACTCTGCTGTATCAGCTTCTTGGCCTTCTGCAACTTAGAGGCTGATTTCCTCTTTGAGTTGAGCTCGGCAGGGGGTATTTATGAGCACCACAGATGTGCTCCCAACGCACTACCCTTTTTGGCAGGCACTTCTGTGATGACTAATATCCAACGATTTTGAAACCTGTCAGCTAATTCTTGCAAGCATTTCATGGAGCTTGCTAGCAGGTTCCACCTTTATAATTCTGCAACCCCACAGGTTGAGTCTTGAGTTGTTAGATTTACAAGATAACGCACACATGCAAAACCTGGGAGCTTCCTGTTCTTTTTGTTTATTTGCTTGTCTAATCATTAAATTACTTTGGTTTTCTTTCATTGCAACTATGCGAAATAATCTGAGTGAAATAAAATTTCCTTGGTTGTTGTATGACATCCAATTTCACTCTCCTACCCAATGCAGAGACTCAGCAAGAGGATTAAAAATTCCCTGAAATATTTTGATTGGTTTATACATTGTTTTAAAAAGTCTGAATTTGATGCCAACATATTGAAATTAGTGGATTTCACATAAAAATCACACATAAAACTTCTTGTGAAAGAACATGTAAGATGGGGCCTCCTGGCCCTCCTCACGTGGCCACAGCTGGCTAGGGATGAGTGGCCAGCCTGCACCAGCACATTCATCCCCCTTCACTCACTCCTGGTCTCTGTGTGGCTCCTGCATACATTCGACTGTGTGGTCTCTGGGTTTTTCAGGAATGGAATCCACTCACTATTCTATTTCCTGATTCTGATCCTGCTTAACACTGGGGTAGAAAGCTGAGAAGAGGATGCACAGGAGAGTTCTTTCATTCTTTCATTCAGAAAAATCATTGGGCTTCTCCTATTTTGTACTTTCTTCTCAGAATATTGGTTTTTGTTCTGAGGTACCAATAACAGTAAGATAATGAATTAGAAATGCATACCACTGAAGCATTACTGAAGACTAGGAAATATGTTAGGGAAGTAAATTTAGTCTAATTTAATATTCAGAAAACCATTCTGCAGATGAGAATTTTAAGGCTCAGATGAGGTTGCTACCATATCCAAGGCTGCTCAGAGAGTAAAAATTACAATTGTATGTGAGGTTTAATGGCCTTAAGATGGCATTTCAGCTAGGATGATGAACTCATTCTGGCTTGTCAAAGACTTTCCTGATTTTAGTGCTGAAAGTTCTATGTTCTAGGAATCCCATCAGTCCCAGGAAAACAGGGACAGCTGATCACCCTAACTCTCCATATTCCTAAATCCTATACTGTCAATAATAACTCTTCTTCATGAAATTCCCAAAAGAGAGATTCACACAAGGAAGAATGTCGTATAAAAATTAAGGCACTGCTTATTGGACCATAACCCTTAGTGCCAGTTTCTCTCATGAAATTGAGATGGAACCTAAAACTTAGGCACAAGGAAGGCCCAGAGAAATCACTGGTCATTGTTAAATCCCAGTCATGACACCCACTGCCCACTGAAGGGGAGGTTCTTGCTGCCAGATGCAGTATGCAAATGAGTAGCAGCAAAGATAAAGAACAGAAAGGCCCGGCCTTTTGTGATCAGTATACCCTGTCTCTGCAGGACCCTCAGCCCCAGTGGAACAAAGACCAGAAGACAGGAGCCTTCCAAGTGGTGGAACCTGGGGTAGCACAGCAATCCCGCCCACTAGGAAAGTGGTCCAATCGGCTTTGCAGAATCTAGCCAATCACCTGAAAGCACTTGCTCTAATAAGAGGAGAGTGGATTGCGTGTGAGATTAGTGGGTAGAGAAGAAAAGCATCCCCCTTGTTGGGGAGACACGCTGAGTTTCCCTTTCCTGCTCCCGGGAGCTCACCCTGCCAGATCAAGGCAATTCTGGCATTGTCCCTGTGATTTCCTCATGTCAGTCCTATGCCATCAAAGGGGGTGATGGCCTTACAGCTAAGGTCTTAGAAATGAGTAGGGTCCCTGATGGACACCCTCGATTGCTAGCTCAGGCCCTTCTCACCCTGTTTCTTGCAATCTCTCTTTCTACCCATAGATCTTTGTCCACAGCACCTCACCCCTTTCATCTGGAGATGGCTTCGCTTCAGTAGCAATAATAAGCGTCAACCCATCAGTCCCCTCTTCTGTCTTGCACATCTCGAAGGCTCAGTTAAGGGAAAAAATCAGCCCATTATTTCTCATTTCGTTTGGATTCTGCTGGCTCTACAAAAGCAGAGGTCAGTGAGGCCGGTCACAGTGGTTGAGCTTGCCCCTAACTCAGGATGGAGGCTTCAGGGATAGAATGAAAAATGAGCCAAGGTCAGGGAGGAGAAGATGGAGAGACGCTAAGATGCAGGTTGTTTAACTCCAAATTCTTGAAATCCAAGACTTGAGAAAATTCATTTCTTTGATCTACCATTAAGAGTCCACATGATAAATTCACCTATTTTTTAGTACAAAACTTCTATTCTGTCTCACAAACTAATAACTCCAACCTCCTTAGCTCAAAGAGGCTTTGTCCCATCACATCTCTGTTAAGTTATATTTTTGTGGGAACTAACAAAGAAGGGTACCAGGCTGCTCATCTCTCCAAAGAGAGAAAAGACACAGGAGAGAAGGCAGAGCCCCAGACAAGGAAGCGCTGAAATATTTTCTGGAATGAAGTATGTAAATCCCAAGCAGATTTTAACAGTCACCTGTTTGACCCTTCTAAATCAATTCCAACTCCAGCCTTGAAGACAGCTTCCATTGGGCAATATATTAATTCAGGTCCCCTTGTTATGGAGCTGGGGCCTTTTGAGAAACTGAGGCACCACAAAGACACCACCAAGTCTCATGACCAGATCAGAAAGATTTCAGATATGTCACTCAGAGTAATTGGATGAGTTTATTGGAGAGCTAAGGAAAAGAGAAAGGGGATACCCTCAAGGGAGAAAGTGGATCTTTCTCAGAGGAGAGGGACAGCGTGCCTCTCCTGCACTCCAGTTTTATTGGGGTCCCAGAGAAGTTTCCAGAGAGTCCTGCACAGGTCCACTTCTTGACTTTTGACTGACAGCCGGGTGACTTCAGACATTCAAGTCCCCACTGACATGGCAACTCTAGGTCACCTTGACACCCGCTAACCAGTTCTAATTGAATTCTTAACCATACATTCTTACAGATTTTTAGGTTAGAAGGAACTATCCTTATCTCACAAGAGTTTTAGAATCTGGTCATAAGTCTTCTCCTTCAGGGCAACTTGGATTCCTCTTATCAACATTATTCTGAGCCTGCATTTCTCCTGCAGTGAATAGGTAGTTTGCTGAGGAATGTAACATATCCTGTTCACTGAGGCCAGGCAGGGCTGCGGGTAAATTGCTTCTCAGAAAAGAAAGCATGTGGGGGATCAGCAGAGTGGGCCTGGTTTATAGAATTATTCTCTTAATGTCAGGTTCCCCCCATTCACATCTGTCTATCCCCTCACAACCTCAAAAGTTCTGAGAGGACTTGGTGCAGATATTTAATTACAGACAATCCCAGGTATCACCAGCAAGGACATCTGCAAAAAGACTAGGTAATGCCATTTTTCAGAAACAATATTTTAATTTCATTGTAGCTTAATCTATTCCTCACTTCATCCACATCTTTTTTGGGATCCGTGCACTTTAGCTTTAAAAAACTCAATTTATAAATATGCTCAAAAACACCCCTTAAGTAACACCTAGGATGAATTTTATGTATGCAAAAGGCAACTAAATTATATAATAAATTCTGTGACAGACAATATGGTTCTCTTAGATAAGAA